CATGTATAAACCGTGAAACTTCGTCATTTACGCTAACTTGACTTAACTCAACTTAAGTTAACTTGGTTTTAAGTACTTAATCTTCTACAGTACTCCTAAGTGTCTTTCTTCCATTTTACATTTACATTGACATTTACATTTCCCACAGCCTGGGATTTGATATTTGATATTTCATATTGATCTTCGTTTCATCGAACTTTTCTTCAATCTTCTGTTGGTAGGTAGGTATTAGTACCTAGTATCTGTCTGTAGTGATGGACTTTGTTCTTTTCCAGAGATCCTCTGTGTCCAAAATTTTGGACTCTTGTATAGCATGAATCCCTTCTATTCCTTCTCTTCTTGTAGTTCATGTTTCGTTCCCAGTTTGAAAGGGATTTTCTATTCCTTCAGAGGTGGAATGGATCGGGATCGAGATCGAGATCTAGATCTTGGATTCCTAATTATTGATCGAAATAACACTCGCTCTTCCTGGTTCCTGTAGTTATTGCTTCGTTCCCAGTTTGAGGGGAATTTTTCTAGTCCTTGGATCTTGTAGCTTCTGCTTTCCTACTGTCTCTCCAAGTAGATCAGACCCCTCTCTCTCTTTCGGTTCCTGCAGTCTTTGTTTATTTCTCTCTCTGTCTAAACCCTCCCTCTCTAGCCCTCTACATCTCGACTCTCCTGCTTTCCTATCTCTCTCTCCAAATCTCGCTCCTTTTCTCCCTCTACTTGCCACATCTAATCTTCTAGATTCTCAGTTCTGTTTCCTTCCCCCTATTACCTCTAACTCCTGCGCCTCCCTTACATATCTCCTCTCGCCTCTCCCTTTCCAGTAGCTCCTCAGCCTCCTCTTTGAAAATCAAATCAAATCATCTCCCTACCTTTCTTTTATCTTTAATAGTGTAGAATTACCCTACTCCTGCGAAGAATCCTTCATGAGTATTCCCTTCGTTCTTTGTTGGGATGTAACCAGCAATGAATTTTATAGTCCTGTGAAATAGTCCTGTGAAATAGTCCTGTGAAATAGTCCTGTGAAATAGTCCTATGAAACACTCCTATAAAACCCTCCAATAAAACCCTCCAACAAAACACTCCAACAAAACAACCCCATAAAATAATACAACTCTCACAATCCCAACCCTCAACCCCCCAACCTCAACATACAAACCGAAAATCCAACCAACTTCCCTTCATCCCTCCATCCCCATCAAGTATCTCCGAGTGGACAGCATGAGATATCCGAATATCCTAATTCCAGGATATCCACGGCACCCGATGTGCATTTGAATGAATACTAAATAGTTATGATTAGAATAGGATAGGATAGGATAAAATATGTAGCGCCAATGAATTGGAAAGCTCGATTGGGTTGTGGAAGAAATATATTCATTATATTGTGTTTCGCCACGAAGAAATGTGTATACCTATATAAATAGATATAAAATCACAAGAAATTCAACCCTATTCATAATGACTCCGTGCAGTACATGATATGATATATTGTATTGTACTTTTGGGATCCAAATATGTCAATTCAGATGTACTATATATCATACATATATCTCGAACTTCCATCCGGCCTCTGATTATTCATATCGATGAAAGGGGGGAGATAAATCTCCTTCCTCTCCATCATTCTCTGTCGACTACATCCATATCATACTCACCCCGCACCAAGTGTAACATTATATATTATACATTGTACATTGTTGTACTTAAGCACTTCGGTATACCTACCTTACTTATAGTACTTAACCAACTAAGTAGGTAAGTATATTGATTGACCTGAGATCTCCTTTATAACCAAGCGACTATTTTAAAACCCGGATGTCATATATGTATTGCACGCAATGGTTTTTTGATTTTATATTATTTATCAATATCAATACCCAAATTCATAATTCAATAGGTATTAAACTACAAGAACAATCGCAAAAGCACCACAGGACTCAATCAAACAGTAAAAACCTGCGACCTTTATTCCCGTCGCCCTATTTCAATATCCCTCTTCAATTTGGACAGTGAGCTATCAATATCCTCAATTGGTGTGCACTTGCACCAGAAATTCCATCTTTTGATCTATAAAATTTTCTGATCTCACCATATATGTGATCAAGTGCAAGGAATAAACGATCATAGACCGGTGCAGCGAATTCGAATTTGAGCGCTGGATTGGCTGCTCGGCCTGCTTGCCACTAGACAATAGAGCCGTTTCCAACATCACACCACCTCTTTTCCTTTTCCTTTTCCTCCCCAACAATCTTCAAACTTCCAACGCAATATCTCGTTTGCTAATCGAGCTACACTATAATGACTTAGAATCCGCATTTCCATGTGGAAAATTGCTAGCAGCACGGTGCCATCTATGAGCCCGGGAACCTTGCAAGGCGAAGAAGAAAACGAGCATGTTAGGAACATGGTGAAGACGGCGATGCAGGCGGGAGATCGACGTATCGATGGTGCAACCGCGGATGGGAATTTTTGGAAAAGGCGATGGGAGATGGGAGATGGCGTCCACGAGAGTGGAATGGAAGCGCAAGAGATGCGTTGTTTGTGATGACGAAATGGCACGGCTACAATATTCGAGAAATGGGGGGGGAGTGTCTTGCGGATTCTTCATCGGACTTAATCGTGGCATGAGCCAAACGACGTCGATCGTGCGTGGGATTGGGGTCTGGAGGCTTTGGGCTTGGAGTCTGCTATGTATTGCTTGCGTGCTAGCGCGGAATCCGATCTTGCTCCTCATACCAGAGGAGTTGATTTGTCCCTTGTGCATTGTGGGTGATCCGATGAGCTTTTAGATTGAATGCCATCCACCCATGGTCGTCGAAACTCAGTTCCCTATGCGTATCTCCCTGGTCCACATAATCGTACGCTTCGACATCCCAGCGAGAACGGGAAGGTAAGTGAGATCATATCATCTGTATGGTAAAAAGCAGTGCTTTGCAAGGTCAAGCCCGTGATGGATTACGAACGTGCGCGAACGTACACCGAAACATGGCCAGCCATGGAGCAATGAGGAAGGTCGAGAGCGGTAAGGCGAAAGCCATTGGGAAGCTTCATAGGAATCTACGCACCCAACTTCGCTGGCGAGCGATGAACAAACATTGACCACTGCAGGCGTATCCAACTGAATTCAACAAGCTCCAAAGCAAAAGGATCGTGGAAATCGCCAGGATGCGTCCCGCAGTTCACCAAGTGGAGGCTCATCCGTATCCGTGAGTCATGGATTCTTTCCCATCACGAAGAGGAGACTGACAAGATGCATGCCTCGTTATTTCCCTCCCTCCCATGCGCTTCTGGATTTTGGCAAGAAGGAGAACATCCACATCATAGCACATCAACCACTGGGAGGAGGAAAACCTATTAGAGTCATCGCTCCGCATACCGATATTCCCGGGCCTCTTTTCGAGTCCCGGGTAAATAAATCAATACCGAAGTTGTATTTGTGACGACCTGACGTCGAGAGCTCATCAACCGATGATAATGATAGATGGCCCCGATAGCGCACGAGATGGGTATGACGCCCGCGCAGATGATTCTTTCTTTCATAGGCTATTCACCGTGGCACTCCAGCCACCCCAAACCCGCAACTGCGCGCCGAGTTTCCGAAAACCTTTCTTTGCACCGTGGAGTGCAAGGCACTTTTCAATCATCGATGGATTGACGACCGTCATTGAGAGCGGCGCGGTGAGATATTTCGACCCGTGCAAACATCTTGGCTTCGCTATTTTTGATTCGGAAATGGATCAACCGGTGGAGAATCCGGCCCCTTGGGATTGCTGAGGAATGGCCGGCCACTGGCAAGGGGTAAATCGTCTCGGCACTCTTCTATTGTCGGAGGAAGTTGAGACGAGCATGGAATATGCACTTTGGGTATATGAATCCTTAATGCGATGGGTTCCGCGCTGTTTGACCGATCGACTGAAAGTCAAGGTAATAAATGAGCTTTCCTCTCGTCCATGCCCTTATACATATATTCATCCCCATATCCTTTCCCCCGAGATACCAAAAACGCCGAGATATTTGAAGCCCATCTATAAATACCTAACATTGAGAAAGATACCGTAAGAGATCAACCCGATATTTGAAATTAGGTAGCCAGTCAATGAGTAGGTAGGTATCGAAAACCAACACGTCCCATTCTCGAATGGAAAGAGAGTAGGTATCCTTTTCAACATGGGATTACATTCTCGAAAACGTGTGATTAACTAAACTAGGTATACATAGGTAGGTATACAAAAAAAAACATCGCTCGATTCTCCATCTTGGATCTACAATATGTAGGTATGGATGGCTCTAGCGCATCGCATCCCATCCCATCCCATCCCATCCTCATTCTTGGATCTTCCATAGAATATATTTATCCGAGCATAAATATTTCAATAACATAGGTAGGTATTTAGATAATAACACCTAATGAGGTAGGTAGATATCCATAGTCATTCAAGTAGGTAGGTATCTAGCCTTTAACATCCAGGATACCGACTTAGGTCCCCCTCAATAGCAAAAACTTCAAGCCTCTTAAAGTTAAGTACCATTTATTTCCAAAACATATTTACCTAGATAGGTATTCTCGGGATAATCATAGGTATGATAGGTATCGATACCCGTTTAGGAGGCGCTGGTTATACTATGGGCGTTGACTAGTAGGTACCTAGGTAAGGTAGGTAGGTACCTAGATAGGTAGGTAGATAGTTTTAGAAAATAATTACGTCGAAATATAATATAATATAACATAATTACAATGTGAATAAATCCATACTATAATACTACTATATTCATCTTCATTATCACCATACTAATATCCATATACATAGGTATATAAATAACTAATACCTATCACTATCACTACCTATCACACTCATCCTTTTCAACAACCCATATCCAGCCCCTAAACACATCCCATCCCTAGCAATTCAAAAGCATCAAAGCCCTCCCTCCATCCATCCTCTCCCCTCCTCCCCCAATATAAGTCCTAAAATCCACCTTTCCCCCATCAACAAACAAACAATTCCCACGCCCGTTTGGCTTAGCGGTAAAGCGCATCACTAGTACCTAGCAAATTCCGCTGATGCAAATGATGAGATCCTAGGTTCGATTCCTAGAACGGGCAATTTTTTTCTGTTTGTCATATCCAACCTCACACCACTACATGATGTCAGATTTATTTTTCCTGAGATTCTTCAGGAACGGTAATTTTTTTTTTGGAGACTGGGAGCGATACAGAAAGGAAAGGAATAATAATGAATGAATTAATTAATTAGGTAATGAACGGATAAAAAAACTGTGGAAATCTTTTCCTCTCCCGGCCCCAGATTTTTGGGTAAATGAACCAGATTATTTAGTGGGTGCGTGGGTGCGTGGGTGGGATTTAGAACCTTGGTTATGGATAGGGACATGGGAGGAGACCGCTCGGACTCGGTCACTCGTCATCACTCAGTTTACAATAATATATAAAAATAAAATGGCATGGGAAGAAAGAAAGAAAGAAAGAAAGAAAGAAAGAAAGATAGCTCTCCTTTATTTCTCTACCTTACCTACTGATCGATAGGTAGGTAGGTAGATCGATATACTTAATCTACGTATATAACAGACAAGCCACATCAAAATCAAAATCAAAACCAATCGAAAACCCCACGGCCGGAGATCTATCCATCTATCTATCTATATAGGTACCTACCAATAAATTAATATAGGTACGCATCCATACCTACCAATAAATTAATATAGGTACGCATCCATACCTACCTATGAAAGAATGCATTTTAGTAGTTTTAGAAATCAATGAATCGATCGATACCTACAGTACCTACAGTATATATATATAAATGAACATCTACCTATAAAAATCCAAAACAAGATAAGACAAGACAAGATGAGAGAGATATCAACCTCTGAAATGAAGTTTTGATTCCGTAACCTTAAGCGGGCCCTATCTATAAAGTAGGTAGTAGGTAGATAGTTTTGGATCTTGATATACGCTGGTTGATATTATTAGGTGAGGTTTAGTTGGTATGATATATTTATTGGTGGTATAGCAAAAGGGGTGCTTACACTAGATACCTATATATATTGTATGTTATTTGGAGAGGGTAGGCAGGTAGGTATTGATTGTATGAACTGTTTGTTTGCACTGAATATTTATTCAAGAGCCTAAAGGAATTCCGAATGGAAACTTCATGAGCTCTCTCTGTCTACAATACGGAAGCACATCCAAACTTTGGAGAGAATCATGAATGAATGAAACCCTCAGGAATTATATTGTGATATATACATTTTTTATCATATTACTATTTCCAACTTCTTCCAAGATCCAGAAAGAAATATTATTTACTAGAACTCGAGTTAGCACCGCACTTCAAGATTGATTCAAGAAATCAAAAAAACTCACCTCATAATCCGCAATCTTAAGAACCGCCTTTCCAAAGTTCTTGCCTGAAAGCATACCGACAAATCCCTCTGGTCCATTATCGATACCTTCCGTAACACTCAAAGTGGCCTTGAAGCTTCCATCCGCCAACCACTTGGCCACATTCTCATCTCTTGCCTTGACATGTAACGGGCCCATATTCGCATCCGCCACGATGAAACCTCTCATGGTAATTCTCTTCGCCACGATATTTACTAAATTCGTGATGGGATATCTTTCGCTGTCCGATTTGTTGTACTCGCTAATCATGCCACAAGCGATGATTCTTCCAAAGTTGTTCATGGCGTTGAGAGCCGCTTCCAATTGTTCTCCTCCCACATTTTCGTAGTAGATATCAATACCATTGGGCGCGAGACGTTGGAGAGCATCGGCTGGCTTCTCGGTTTTGTAGTTGAAACCTCCGTCGAACTTCAAATCGTTGATGATGTAGTTTAATTTATCGTCAGATCCAACGGATCCGATGACCTTCAGGCCTTCGTGCTTGGCGAGCTGTCCAACGAGTGCTCCGACAGCTCCTGAAGCTGAGGAAATGAAGATGGTTTCTCCTTTGACGGGCTTACCGATTTCGTAGAAAGAGGAGTAGGCGGTCAATCCGGGCACTGAGTAAAGAGGAGAGATTAGTGGCTTCCCATATATTTATGGTCGTGGTTGTGACTAGAACTTACTGCCCAATGCTCCTAGGAAATGCTTTACATCCAAGTTGTATGGGTTCTCAATTTTGTTTGCGCCATCTGCGAGTGGTTTGGGGACAGCCGAGTACTCTTCAGTCCAGATGAAACCAGTGAGAAGATCTCCAGGTTGGAATTTAGGGTTGTCGGACTTGATAACTTTGGCAACGGTATTGTTATTGATAGGTTGTCCCAATGGGAACGCTGGAGAGTAAGACTTGGCTTCTGGAGCTCTCATACGTCCACGTTGGTAAGGATCGAAAGAGGCATAGAAGTTCTTGGTTGTGATACCTCCGGCTGGTGGTGCTTGCTCGAGATCGAATTCGCGGGCCTCAACTACCAAGTCTTGTCCTGCAACAGGAACTCCTTGCGGAACTTGCTTGAAGATAAGACCTTTGTTTTGAACCATCTTTGCGGTTTCGGTTAATATATATTTATTACTGTAATGTGAGAATGTTAAAGAAAAAGCAATTGAGTATAGCAATGAGGAATGGGGGTGTATAAAGATATATATATGAGTGCAATGGAAACCTTCTTGGGTATGACGCGCGCTCTCTAGCAAATGTCTTCATCCAAGCTCAAAAATATTCAAATTGTAGAGGAATACTAGGATCGGATACTTTTTATTCGCTGCCTTCAAGGACATCTTCTCCATTATTGAATCGAACATCTCCGTCTCCGTCTCCGTCTCCGTCGTCCTACATGATTGTGATTGTGTGGATGAGAGTTTATGTGCATTGATCCATTGATCCATTGATCCATTGATCGATCCATTATTGGTAAGCATCTCGTTGAAGAATACGAGTATCCGATGGGTACAGAAATCTTTTTCTATCACTTTCTGCCCAGTGACCCCACCATATGCTACGATATGCCGAGGTTGTCGGATTTAAGGTTACATGTACCTATCTAGGTATGCTTGCACCACCTGGACAACACAACATGAACATTGAACATTGGATAGTCCCACACAATAAATTTCACAAAATCTCTATTTGAGGAAAAACATCCGTCTCTAAGAATGGGAGAATGGGAGTTGGTTGAGGTTGAGATTGATCCGGCTGCTGATTCGAATTATATCGGATATGTCCATGGCATTCTGGTTCCGATCAGTATTAACCTTCTTAGGTATCTAAGATGATCTTGTTGAAATCCTCATCCCTTCCCTTCATCAAGTATCCTTACACCCTTAAAGTTAGAGTATAAGATAAGATGCTTACAACATCTTAAGTTTCCAACATCAACTCCCAGGTACACGCATCGAGGAATCGAAGTGACCAATTCCCCGCCTCTTCGGAAAGTTCTGACATGCATGATGCAGCGAACCTCTTTTCCTTTTCCGTCGGATGCGGTGGTACTGGAAACATCCTTAGCAGGATCCGTACAACCACTTGTGCCAGTGCTGAAGTGATTCAAAACCATATCATATGAGCGATTTCCAGATCAAATCATCACAAGCTTTATATATTATTCCTCACTATACTGCTTACTTTCATATCGCAATATACATTTCGAAATGCAAAATCTCCCAACTCTATCATGAGGAGTTATAACCGAGTGAAGGGGGGAATTCTTGAGTCATTTAAGTTTTCCATCTGATCTTGAAGGATGATATATTTCAAGTGTTTATATTCCGTACAATCTTGGACAACTATCGTTTGTTGCCCGGAACATTTATTTGTTCCCTCTCATCATATATAGACGGGACCCTATATAAAAAGACCGAAAGATTAGAAGGCTCAAACCATTTTAAAAAGGGGTTGAGAATGTTAACCAATCGTGGGTATATTAGAAAACCCATTATCGGCATACAGCACGCCGCCAAAATCTATAACAAAAACCGATCAAAGATCCCAAATCTCCTCGAGAAATTGCGTCGAGCCATACTCAAACTACTCTTCCCTTCATCCCCGGACTCCAAAGCATGAAGTAACTTCGACAATTTCCTCTTCACACGAAGCACTACATCTAGTTGCTGCATACACAGCAGCACCTTCGTTTTCGCAGCCAGGATCAGAGCTGTTTTAATAACTCTTTTTATCTGTCGGCCGTTCAGAACCCATCTTGAGAGAGTATCCAGATCTTCTGAGCTGATGTTTGATTTTCCTTTTGGTGGCATTTTGATGAAGTTGGAGCAGATGTCTTTTCGTGCATTGCGGATGGGATGCTTGTAAGCGAGTAGGTACTATTATATCGATACGCGATTCAAAAGCGGTATCTAGACTGCCGGTTCGATTGGTGGTTAGAATCAGGACGCCTTTATAGTACTCTAGGAGTACGAGGAAGACTAGGGGTTAATGTTAACAGTATTGTTGAAATACATCCAACGCCCTTCTCCAATAACATATCCGTTAAAATTCTTTGTCTGACGCCCACAGAGCCTATCGAATACTCTCCCACGCTCAAAAAGATAACTCATACTCTTCTCTCGCTCTTTATGAGCGTTCAAGAGAAAAGATTTTCTCTCGCTGGTTTTTCGAAGACCTCCAAATGACTCAACTTTCCCTTGGGGTTAACCTCGTTTCTCTCCATCCCAGTCCACTATATTTAATTTGAGCTTACAGGATTCTCCCACCATGATCATCATCCTTGATGCCTTTCGCGAGTGTTCAAGCTGTACGCATACTATCTTTGGAGTAGATAACTATCTCCCGATTCTCCCCCGGCTAAGCTTGAATACCAGAAGAATGTTTGGATTCAAAATTGATATATCTTGTATTCGAATTCATCACATCACATCATCTTCTTCAAATCCAAACTTTCCTTTTCTCGTCTCGTCTCGTCTCGTGAATATCTGTTCAAAGTTCATGTTCATGTTCATGTTCCCTCTCTATCCGAAGGTCTAACTTCATTTTCCTGGCCCTCGAGTCGGCTTGGTGATTGCTCTCATGGGTAGCGTTTCGTAAGGGTTGGTCTGAGTTGTAAAGGCTAAAGCTAGTAAATTATTATCTAAAATTATTGCATTTTCATTTTCCTTTCCCCTTTTCTTTCTCCTTTCTCCTTTCTTCGTCTCCC